ATTATAAGTTACAGAACTTATGGGAAAAAAAATCCATACAATTTTAACATAATTCTATTGTTTTGGAAAAAAGTTATTTTGATTTGCACGCAGTGCTACCTCCTGTGCTTCCCTGTACACAAAATTCTGGATACTGCGTTGCATCCACGATTTGACTAGCAGTTTCTTGGGCAATACGAGTGGTATTTAAAGGCAAAGGTGCTCGAAAACGTCGGTCACCAAGAGGCGGTTCCGAATAGGGAATACCGAGGTAAGCAACCGTGTTCTCGAAAGATCGATTCCCCCTGTATTTAGCATATCCCACGTCAATGATCTCTCCAGAGCCTGTAGATCGGATAGACACAGCAAGTAGTTGGGGCGCAAGCCAGAAAACGGGGGCAATTACAAGAGGTAATTTGAAGATTGGAAGAAACATTTTCCCGCACGTCTAAGAGGATGGTACTGCCATGAGTCCTGGGCTTTTAAAAGCTTCGAAGAGCGACGAGTCAGAAGGTCAAAAAGTCCTCGTACACTCTGTCATGGGGTGAGCTGAAGAACCTGAACTATGGAGAAATTCCGAGCTCATCATCGAGAAGCCCGGACCGTGACCTGAAAATACTCAATCTCGATGCTCCGTGAGTGTATATGCAGTTCCCATACCGAAAAACATTCGATCGTGCGGCCGCGCAATACAAATAATCGAACTATGACCAAAAGCCAACCAATTGATGTATGAACGGGTCTGTTTCACATCAGCTTTGAGCTAAGTCAAGTGTAGGAATACGCACAAGAATCATCAACATGAATTGTGCGTACACTTTAGGCCCAGACATCAGAACCTCAGCAAATCGCTCGAGGGATTGAGCGTATAGTATTTCTTGCTGATTCCTCCGGATACGCGCCTCTTTTCCAAGAGAAATCACAGTCGGTAACTCGTCGGTAACAATAGTAGTTTTGTCAACAGAGAAAGCAACAGTGAACTTGTGATTTACTTTTTTTGAATAAGTTATGATAGTTTGGGTTTACAGCTGTTAGCTTTCCTTTCCCAAAAATCGAGGGCGTATCCTTTGATCTATCGTGTCTATGAACCGCACAAGTTAGATTCTGGCGACCGTGCCGAGGAAAGCTAAGAAATGCATTCGAAGTTAAACACACCGAGACGAGATCCATCTGTAAGCAGAAGCTTGGGTGACAAATAATCATAATAGGAGTTGGGACTCAATAGAGAAGAACTTTGAAAGAAGTTTACTAGTAGGTGTGCTGAAGGGTGAACAGGTAAACGTACCTTGATTCTTGAGAAGACTTGACACGATTACTAGAGGCCATTGCAGAAAAAAAAAGTTATCGCTGGAAGCAGGATTTGAACCTACGCACTCAGAGAGTAATAGATGATTATCGACTGGGATTCAAATCTATCGCCTTAACGACTCGGCCATTCCAGCATTGACAAGATTAATTTACTTTCAGTCTATTATTTACAAATTGTTTCGCAGTGGGGTATCTAGAGCAAAAAGTGAGATATATATCGTCGGCACAAATCGGCACATCATGTAAGCCGTCGCAACGGCGCCTATCTCATCACATCCACCCAAGCGGACTATTCACACTAGTAAGGAATTGCTAAATAAAGCAGTTAAAATTGGTAATTGTTAATGCTGTATATCTTGCGTCTGGATATGCAATATGTGCTCAATGCAAGCTTATTTATCTTTGGCAGCAGATTTGGTATGATTTCTTTTGCAAATGATAGGTATGAGCTATAAGAACAAGCCACAAGACGCATCCGGCATCAACCATCTCCGTACCTTCTCTGGTTTGATTCAAACAACTCAACTGCCTCCTCTTCGCAAAGGTTCAAACCCTGTCATCTTCCAGATATGACATCCAACGCATCATCAGTCTCGAACGTATTTCTGCTTACATGTTGTTGCATACAACGCGTCTTGAAGGCTACACCAGACTCTTGAATCATTTATCTGTGTACTGAGCTCAAGACTTCGGAAGGGGATCAAAGGCCGATGTTGTGGCTCCTTGGAAACATGACGGTCGAATTGAATGGTGTACTGCAGGAAGAGGTATGTGGTCTCTTTATCCTAACGCAATACGATACTCATTTTAGACTTTGACTTTTCTCGTCCGACTATGGAAAATCCCTAGTACTTTTCTTAACCGAAGAGAAAGTACATATTATATGCATCTTCAAATAAAGAACGTCTAAACTATCCAGTTGGTATCGATTGGCATGGCTCACTCGATCCGGTGTACTCAGCATTTCCCGTTCCAAACCTTGATCTACTTGTCGTGCTATCTGCGGGAGTCTCGATGCAGCCATTAGACCGAGTCTAGTATAAGTCCTTCACCTACTCTTACAGACCCTGACAGTCGTTTTGTATGGAAGACTCCCCGAATGTTCACTCAGCGACATTCTAATTTGCTACTTACCTCCTCAACGCCGATTCTTCGAGGTTTGCAATACCAACGATCATGTTCCCAGGATTCCATCGTTGAGCGCATCTCTATCTTTAAGTGATTGATGTCTTCTAATAGCGTGACGTCTGTACATCCAACTAGCCTATCTTCTGTTTTCGTTTGGAATTCTAATCGCGCAAGCAGCTCCTGCTACTAGAGAACTAGAGGAAAGGAAGATCAACCAGCTGATATATCTACAACCTACTGAGCCAAACAGACCTCGGTTCTCTGAAGTTCTGGTTCCAACGGCTTCAATTGCTCAGGTACCTAAATCAGGCTCACTTCGGCTCCGGATATTCAAGATGGCATGGTTTCTCATCAGTTGCATGATGGTGCCAGGTGAAGTCATCCGTGTGCATGATGATGATCCTAGTAAGAATGCTCATGCTCATGCTCATACTCCTAATGGCGCCGAAGTTCTCTTTCCTTCTGCGATCTTCTTCGCCAGCCTAGGATTTATAGCTTATCTGCATTGATGGTACTATCTTGCCTTAAGGCAACTTCTAGGAGGTCATCTCCAAGTTCTGCACTGCTCCACAAGTGTCAACCACACTCACATTACGCCTCCTCAGTACTCCTCAGCACTCGCCAATGGTTGCGCTATGCCTCATCCAGTCGTACTTCGTCAAGTCGCAATTCGTGGATGACCACATGCACATGTCAAATGCTTCGTCGGCGTTCGAGTTTCTGGATGGTTTCTGACGACATCTTCCTTCCTTTTTGCTCAGGATCAGTGGTCTGCGACCTACTGCGACGGCCTCAGGGAAATTTCCACAATACTTACGGATGCCTGAAGGGTTACAGGCCGTAGGAGTTAGTTGTTGCGGTATGTGCTTGTCATTGGGTAATCAATCTCCTGTCATTTCTGGTCATCTCAATCTCCTGTCTAATATTTTTGGTCGTCTCCCTTCTATACATTTCTTACTTCCTCCTTATCAGCCCTTATCGTAGCATTTCTTTGTCCGAGGCCTTCACTACATTCATACCTCCTGTAAAAGTGAAGGCTTCTCAAGCTATTAGATCGGAATCCTTTCAATGGTTCATTCCAGCTCTCCACTGAGGATGTCAGTACATGATGTGCAGCTGGTCAATGAGATACACAAGTGTTGTTCAGATCGCGAGCCTAGTTGTTCAGTCTGAGGGCAGATCCAACGGCTACAACGCGGAACGACGGATTACGGTCACCCCTTTGGGCTCTCATGGTCCTAATATATGTGTCACCCTTCCCTAAGCGTTTCAACCACAGGGCAATTGTTGATGATATATATCGGCAGTCATTCTTGTTCTTCCTGAGATTTGTTCGCTTTTTGCTCAAATTTCCTTATGATGCAAGCAGTAAAAGGTTCATTGGGCGTAGATGCACTCTCAGATTATTGAGCTTTACTGTAGAAATGTAAAATAAAGTACGTGCCTTGCAAATGTGTTACCAGGAACAAAATTCGACAACTCGACATCAATTGAATGTTGATGATGAAGCGGTGTGTGGGAGCTTCCAAGTAGGAAGGATAAAATGAAGTCATCAGAATTTTTCAACCTTGTCTTCTTCCTCCATCCTTCCACTCTTTTTAAGCCCTCTCTCTTTCTCCTCTTACTTTCCGAATCATCCTCGGTTTCTTTTCTTGAAATCCTCATGGCTCGTCAGCTTCGTCATGCTCTCTTTACCCTTGCCGCGTTATCAAGCGTTCAAGCCTACTTCCTCGTTGGCGTTCGTATGTGTCAAAATGCGCAACGACTAGTAGATATTGGATTTTGATGAATATTTTTTACAAGGCAACATCCTCGTCTCTGAACGATTGGACCCCATTCTTAGCCCAGGAGCAGTTTCTGGCCATACCCACTCTGGTATGGAACCTTGCTGATAATTTTCGATTATAAACATCCGTTGATGTTCACATAGTCGTTGGCGGTAGTAACTTCGGGATGAATATTACTACTGATTCGTTGAGGGACAGTCAATGCACTTCAATGCCGATTGAACAGGACAAATCGAACTACTGGTATCCGGTATGTATACCAATCGTTTTCCATCGTTCAACATCTTTACCAATATCCAATCGCAGCACCTTTATTTCCAGTGCGTCCTCGTCAAAGCGTTTACTCCCCTTCTGTTGCTAAGCTCATTCTTTTTAGACACAAGAACGGGTCGTTCTCAGCTTTGGACGTGGGCAATGTCATGTACGTGTGTTTATTAACTGGCATCGCTATCAACTACTCACATTCTTTGCAGTTGTAAGTCGTCGTGTTCTTGCGCCTTCTTTTACCGCTTATCGTCCGCTCATTTGTCAGACTACCTCTACAACGATGCGGAAGACGGCCAGCCCAACACGGTTCAGGCATTCCCTGATAACGTCAGTTCATTTCTTATATGAGATAGTGCTGGACTAACTTCCCCGCTCTAGTTCCGTATGATCTCTGGTAAATTTTGCTGCTCGAAAGGCTTAGTACACGTTTGTTCATCAATGGCTGCTAATTATAGGTGACATGACCCTGCGGTCTTACAACGCGAGCAGCTATGCTCAACAGGCTGTCACTTTCTTGTGTTTGGATTTCAACGGAGATTCCACCAAGTATAACATGCTTCCTCCAGTTTCATGTCCTAGTGGTGTCCGTGCTCAGATCGTATGTCCTTCCTAACATTTCTATGCTACTCAATACTCAACACTCAATCAGAACTTCCCTATGTGCTGGGATGGCAAGGTGTGATCAATGATCGATATTGGTCTAATTTTTACTGAAAGATGCCCTTTCAGAATGTTGACTCGGCTGACCACAAATCTCATGTCGCATTTCCTTCCGGAGGCCCTGATAGTGGAACATGCGATGATCCCGCCTTCCCTGTAACAATTCCCCGTGTTTTCATCGAGGTAAGTTTCGATGTGTTTAATCTTCTTCTCAAACTAAATCAGAACAGGGATACTGGTCGACTGGTGAATGGGACGCTATCAGGGATACTGATGCCATGAACTCTACTCAACCCTACGTGTAAGTAATTGTGCCCTATTTAAATATGGTAATACTAATATTTCGTGAGTATAGTTTCTCTTACGGTGACCCCACAGGCTACGGATATCACGCTGGTCAGTCATATTTTCGCTCTTACATTAATTAATCTCATCGTTGAAATCAAAGACTTCTACAATGGCTGGGAAAGTGGTATCCTTCAAAATGTGCTGGATAAGTGCGCGTGCAGTAAGTTTATACCCTTGGTTTCAAGATTCATTCCTGATCGCATGTGCTACAGCTTCTGCTGGATTTGGTGACGCTACTTGCTGTGGTGACCTCGGTGTTTTCACTCTCGATACTTCTGGTACTTGCGCTATCACCTCCATTGTTGATGAACAAGGTATGCTGCTTAGTCTTGATTTTTCTCACGTCTTACATGATCGTGTACACCCATGTAGTCCTTGGAACCCTTGATCAACTCCCTGGAAACAACCCTGTCCAATATGGGCCCGAGGATGCCACTATCAATGCTGCCACCTCTGTTCCTGCCATCCTGTCTCCGGCCTATGTCTACACAGGTTCCACTCCGACCGCCACAGGAAATATTGTAACATCTGCATCGGGTGCTCCCGCCGCAGTTGCGACTGCTGCTGCCTCATCTGCTACAGTATCTGCTGCCACTACGACTGCTGCCGCCGTATCTTCTGCCAGTGCATCTGCCTCAGCTATTAGTGCCGCAACCTCTGCCGCCGTATCTTCTGCCAGTGCATCCGCCTCAGCCAGTGCCGCAACCTCCGAAGTCTCATCCTCAGACTCTGGTAGCGTATCCGGCACAGATACCAGTGCGCCTACTAGCGGTAATGAGGAACTTGTAGCCCCTACCGCAGCGTCGTCATCTTCGGTGTCGACGTCAGACTCTGTCGCGTCTGCCACGAGTTCTTCATCAGTCGCTGCTTCTGCTACCGTCTCTTCATCTAGTTCTGGTTCAAATTCTTCGTCTTCGGGTGACGACGGCGATGACGACGACGAC